TAAAACACATTTTCCTTAAATGTATGTTTTATATTACAAATCCTACCAATATTTTGTTATGTAAATGTATTAAACAGATTTGACAAGCACTATAAAAGAGGCATTTTTTTCTTAATTCAAAAAATGGTTGTCATCACTCAGTAGGTTTACCTCTTTAAGCAAATATTGAACCATGATTATAATCAAAATAGATAAAAACACTAAGAAGATTCTTAATATTTTTTTAATTTATTGCAGGTTTTTTGCTATATACATGCTTATTTACAGAGCTAGGTATGTTCTCATTTCTTTTTCAAATGTTTATTGCATTTGTACAGTCATTCCCTGTTGTCTAAATATGTATGATTAGAAAATCTGATATAATTAACAAAATGGGCTATAAAAAAACTGGGTCATTAATCTTTTGTAACTCGTTGGAGGAAGCTAATTTACAGAGTTAAAAAAAAATAAATACTATTGACAAAAATGCTGTTAACACCAAGCACTTAAGGTTTACCCTTGTCCACATGTAAAATAAATTTTAAACAAATGCTCATACAATAAAAGTGAAACTGATCCTAATGCTTGGCAATTAAAGGCCCTAGCCCAGGGGTGGGCAATTCCAATTCCTAAGGGCCGGTCTCCTGAAGGTTTTAGATCCTTCCTTTATCAAACACACCTGAAGCAAATGGCTGAGTTACCTCCTCAGTATGCAGTCAGTTTCTCACAAGTCCTCTCAATCAACTAATTACCTGATTCAGGGGCGTTGAACCAAAGGCACATCTAAAAGTTGAAGGATACCGGCCCCCAGGAACTGGAATTGCCCACCCTTGCCCTAGCCTCTACCTTTTATTTTTGATCCCTGGAAGTTTTTTGATGTTGCAAGTGACATATACTTCAGATAACACATTCACTGGGTATAACACAAGGCTGTATAAACATACAATATCCAGGCATACAATAAAGATTTATCTTCCAATATATTTAGACTTTTTTTGAAAAAATAACATTGCTTCTTTTTGGTCATCACATGCAAATGTCAAACAAAATCTAAATGATCCAGAGGGACACTAGTTCCTCAATAGTTGTGTATTTACTGCCAGCTTATTACAAATATTTCAATAGCACTGTCATAACCTTTTAATAAAGGTCTTTATATCTTACTTTATCCAAGGGGAAGGCTTTTTAGAAGCTAACATTTGAAAAGTCTGATGTGATTTATTTTTTTTGTAAAATTGAATGAAAAAATCTCAAAGTGTGAAAGCTCATGATAAATTTAAAATGTAGGGTAAGTTTCCAAAGATTCAGTTGTCTCAAAAGGCAACTTCATCCATAAGGAACAACATTTTTGAAATTTGCATTTTATATTCTATCGATATTTGATTTAATCACCTTTAATGTAACCCTTTCTCCCTTCCTAATTTCTGCTAAAATCTTGTTTACTTGCAGCTTAAATGATTTCAATATCATAGAGGTTTCCTTTCAGATACCTTATTAGATATTTGTGATTTTCTTAATTTCATCTTAAACTTCTTACCGGTATTAATATAAAGCTGCAGTATATTTCAGTTTTGTTTGTGTAATGACAATTAACACACTGAAAAACATGTAAGCAAAGCTGTTTGACTTCCTGGTCACTGGTCAAGCTTAGGCAATCTTTTTCTGCATATCTTTGATAAGGTGGTATTTAACTGCAAGTATTAATTGGTAATACCTGACTTATTACCATCTATCATTGAAAGGGTAACAATTTGATGCAGTTCAAACCTTCAGCATTCTATCTTTCACTATCTTTGAAAATATGACAGCGTGGAGTCTAAATCGATTTTATATTTATCAAAACATTTATTAATAACAATTTTTTAGGGGATAGTTTAAAAACCTTATAGTAAGGTTCTGATAAAAGTACATAAATAGTTTATATCTTTCCTGCGAAAGACAATTTGACACAATCATACAATATTTATACTCCTCTAAAACCTTTAAGGCAGAGATGTCAAACAGTACTAGAGGGCCTGTGTCCTACACCCTTTAATATGACTCTATTTTAACACACCTAAATTAAATCATTAGATCTTTAGAAGGACTGCAGGTATTTGGGCTATATGCTGAGGAGGAAATTTAGTTGCTTGATTCAGCTGTGTTGGACTTTGGATATATCTAAAAGTAGCAGGACACTGACCATCGAGGACTTGTGTTTAACACTAACACTTAAGACATTCCTAATATTAAATTATGTTTTTTAGAAATTCAGTCAGCATAGGTCTCCCTGCTCAGAGTAGCTCTTACTTTGAGCAGGGAGGATAAGAAAACTTGATTTATACTAAATTGATAAAAAGTTACCTACCGTAGGTGATCTATTAACCGCTTATGTCTTCTTAATAGAAACTCAATAAAAAAATCTGATATTCTATCAAACATTATTGGTTGAGAATGTTTAGCTCTAACAGTTTTAGATTTTTATGGAATAAATTGTGATTGTTTAAAAAGGCTCTTGGTTTAACATGAAGATGCTTAGGTTTCATCTATCCAAGTACAATATTACAATGAATGAACTTTGGAAAAAATACTAGAGCAACAAAAAGGAACTTTGATTAAAAATAATTTTTCCTAAAGAAAAATCTAATCTAGTTTCACATATTATACAAAAAAAATATATAGAGGTGCCATAATATAGTGTTTTCCAAAATGTATTTGGCGAAGGGATGGCATAAAATTATATTTTATAATTTGTAGGCATGAATGCCCTCTGCAAAACAGGGGAGGAGTCATTTCAAATTCACTACTCAACAGTGTAGGGGCCCCTTCTTCCGATTTGTAGAGTGCTTTGTAAAATTATTAAAACCCCTTGACTTTTTCACATTTTGGTCTGTTACAAAACCAAACATTAGTTATTTAATTTGGTATTTTCTGTAGTTAATTAAAAATAATGTAGAACATATTTGTGGGGAGGGAGAAAAAAAGATACATGGTTTTATTTACAAATACAACTTGTGTAATTTACACAAGTAACCTGAACAAAATCCTAAACATAGCAGACAACTTTTTAGAGCAGAGCTGTGTGATAAAACAATATTCCAAGCTTTGAACAGCTTCCAGAGCGCTGGTGAATTTATCATCAAGAGTATGCAAAACTGCAAACCCACCAAAACATGGCCGTCCACCTACTCCAGGGAAGCTAAATAGATACACTGCCTACTTTGGAGAATCTGAGAGTCCTTAGACACGTAGAATCTTCAAATCTGGGCTTTATCGAAGAGTTGTAAAAAGAAAACCATTGTTGAAAGAAAGCTATAAAAGTCCTGTTGGCAGTTTGCAGAAGCCATGTAGAGTTGCATTTGTCTATGCCTATAGGAAAACTTTGATTTAAGTGAAGCCCCCCTGATGATGGCTAAACCCATGTTGGGCAATTGTGTAAAAAGTGATGCAAGTTTGGCTCCTCTGATGGCATTGATTTCTACAATCAATGCCAGAAGTGAAAACCAGAAGTTCATTAATGTATTCATATTTCTTTAAACTCTTTATTTATCAACGTATAAAATCATCCTATTTTAGCAGTAAGGATATATATATGTATATATTCTTAAATATTATTTAAAACATTTTGGTATTGAGTTTCAGACTCTAGCAGGCTCTTCAGCCTGGAAACCTGAAGCGTTAAAGGAAGCTTTTCTTCGAGCCTTTGATTAAATAATTAAGGATGAACTAGCTTGCAGAAATTAGTTTAAAACTGTTGAAGAACTAAACTCCCTGGCTACTCGCACTGACAACAGATTTCGTGGGATAACTCAGGGACAGCAATGGAATAATTTACATCTTTCCCAATCTCATGTTCCAGATCGTTCACTAACTTCTGACTCCATCAGGCCACAGCCAGAAGAACCGATGAAGATGAGGAGCGACAACGTCGAATGAAAACTGAACTCTGCCTGTATCGCGGTGAGTGATCACTTAATTTGTTCCAATCAGCTATAAAGTGTCAGGCAATCAAAATCAAGAAATATTTGTTTTCCTGTTCTCTTCACCCTAACCTTTTTTTCTTTGTCGGCAAAAAGGATGGATCACAAACATTTATTACACGGGCTTTAACCAGATTTCTGTAAAGAATAGATATCTACTTGCACCTCTCTCAGCAGCCTTTGAACCGGTTCATATCTGAAATTTCGTCACCATGTGTGATCTCCGAAATGCCTACACCTGGTCAGAATCAGAGAAGGAGCGGAATGGACGATTGGATTCAACGACCCTCCAGGTCATTTTCAATATTTGGTAATGCCTCTCCGTTTCATAAACGCACCGTCAGTTTTCAAGTCCCTTGTGAATGACGTCCTTAGAGATTTTTTAAATCAGCCTGTAGTTGAAAACTTTTATGACATTATTAATTTCCCCAAAAACTTTCCTGAACATAAGATCCTCCAACGTCTTCTAATGAGCCAACTCTTCGTCAGAGGTGAGAGTTGTGAGGTTCATGTCATATCAATCATCTTTTTGGGACATATTCTTGAGAGCAGACATATGAAGACCTTCCTGCATTGTGGGGGCCTTATTGTGGGAAATAAAGGCTCAAGTCCTGGAGGCTGCTTTCCATGCTTCCATTAGGTCCCACCTCATTCACTGGGCCAACACATTAAGTTCTGCTGCCATCCTGGAATCAACTCTCAAACTCCGTAAATTACATTTTTGGTGGCCTACAATATAAATAAGGATGTTAAAAGTTATGTTCTAGTCTGTCCAGTGTGGGCCCACAACGAAGCCAGTAACTAGAGTCCTAGTGGTCTTCTTCAACCATTATCTATCCCTAAACATCCTTGGTTACATAATCCCCTGGATTTTGTAGCTGTACTGTTGCCATCTAAGGGTTTTACTTCCTCATCTATGATTGGCCGCCAGTCCAAAGCCTGCCAGCTCACTTCTCTTCGTCGACTCAATCCTCTCTTGAGACAGAGTGCCTTGTGAAATCCTGTCGGACAGGGATCCACAATTTTTCTCCTGGGTCTGGAAGGAGTTTTGTACACCTTTGGGGTCAAGAATGCTCTCAGTTCAGGTTTTTTATCCCCAAAGAAATGATCAATTCGAACGCATGAACCAGAAGCTTAAGGCATCCCTCTGCTACTTCTGTTCGTCACACCGATCATTATGCCTTGTGCCAAATATGCACATAATTGTCACACTTCCACTTCTACTGGTCTGCCTCCATTTGTTCTTTCTAGGATACCAACCTCCCCTGTTTCCACCTGACAAGCAGGACATGTCAGTTACCTCTGTCAAACGGCACATTAGGCACTGCAGTCATGTCTGAAACCTGCCAGTTTCTGCCTTGAACTGGTGAGTGGTAACAAATGTATGTCTGTCCAATGGCAAGATTCCTGCTCAACAGTACTCACCAGGAAAAAAGGTTTGGATATCAACTTGTGGCATTAACCTAAAGGCTTCTAATCGCAAACTCTCATTTGAAATCCAGGCATTGCTCAGTCGCTCTGCGGTTCACCTCAAGCTGCCGGATCACTTAAAGATTTATCCTGTTTTTCACTTCTCTTCCTGCAGTTCTCCCCTAAGACCAGCAAGAAATTTCAACTGACTTCCTGCAGATTCTTGTTGCCTTTGCAAATAAAACGTTAAGATTGACTTGTTATCTGTGTGACTCTGCATGTGGTTGAAAAAATTACAAACCTTCTTCCTAACATTGTTGGATAAGAATCCAAAAACTAAGATCAACAGATCTGATAAGACTTCCCGAGAAAATGACACTTTAGATGATTTCATTAGGCTTCCATTCAGTATTTCTGGCATTGGTTGTAAAAATGATGGTGCCCTGCCATTGTACTACTGTATTCTTGAATTGTTCACTGACAAACTAAAACAAAAATGACCCTGTTGCTGAAATTGCAATAAAAGAAAAGGTCTCTACAACAAATGTAATTGCTTTTGTTTAAATTTTGTATGTTTACTTTATTGCTGAACAGGTAAAGATGAAAAATGCTGAAATCAACTCAAGAAAAAAAAAGACCTTCTGGTGATTTACACTTGAAGGTTTTGGCTAGAAATTACTACATAGGCCATGGGAAACATGAGAGTGGGATGGAGCTAAACTTCCAGCACCCAGAGATTGATTGAATTTCTTAAATTAAAGCATACAGACATTTTAGAAAAATGTAGATGGTGTCAAAACATAAATAAGACTGAGCATCTGCAACAGATTTTAAAATTAAGTTTTCTAATCTGATTAGGATTTAAGTAAACAAATTCAATCTCTAGTTGAGTAAAGCTATTACAGTTATATCACATACAGTTGGAGCTGTATTTGCATAGAAGACCCAGAGAGGCTGAATCGAGGCAAATATCCCACCCTTTAGATTTGTACATGAAAAGAAATTTGAGAACCATGTATCATTTTCACTCCACTTCCCCAGTTATGCTCTAAACTTTGTTGGTGTATCTCATCAGATCCCCAAAAATATATGAAGTCACATGATTAAATGTGAAAATGTTTAAGAGGTATCAACATCCTTACAAGCTGTTTCTTCTCTAAACATAATAAAAGTGTTCTGAGGTATTTCATCTAAATGCGTGTACATCCACTTTCAAAATTTAAAGAGCCACAACAAAACCAACTTAAGGCTTTGTTTTTTGTTTTTCTAATTCAGCATTTTTTTTTTACAATTTAATTTTGCGACAAAAGTGTCAAAGAAACTGAGAACCTTGGCAAATATGACAGAGGATAAACATTCAGGAAATATAAATGCTGTTTACTGGCTTCCTATACAGAATGCTGCAGAAAAACACATTTACCCTGGGATCTCCTTTCCAACTATCTGAAGCATTCCTGTTCTGTTCAATGTCAGCTCTAGTGTCTCTGCACCAGAGCAGGCTTCATGAGGGTCCTGCTTCAGCCCAATGTCCATTTGTGTTCTTGTTGCTTTTTTATAAGTGCAGATCCTGTGACAAGTTCCTAAATGATCAGGTTCCACCTCTCCTGGTAAACCACCTAAAGAATGTCAAGTTTTCTCAATAAAGAAATCTGGTTCTTATTAAGATTAACAGCAACATGTCCTTGGAAATATAAATATAACCGACACAGTTTTTTTCTTTTTTTGGTCCTTTTCTTTCTTCTTCAATTCATGCAATTGTTTAATTCTTAGCTGTTCTCACTCCACTCTGGCATGATGCTGACACTATGTACAGAGTGGTACTGGTGTGGCGATAGTGTGCGTGGTATGCCGTGCGTATAGAGGTACTCGTTTCCCTGTAAGCCAGCTGTCGGTGACTGGATGCCAGCTCCGGGACTGCATTGGCGGCCCAGAGTCTGGTGGGTCATGGAGCTCTGGTACATAGCAGCGTGATGGCCCTCCCCCAGCTGTGGAGAAGCATGGCCCCCCACTCCTCCTAGTCTGGACACCAGAGACCCTGAGGTGAAGTGAGCGGAAAAATGTTGATAGGGTAGCCTCTCCATCGGCTGCATTGTGGTGACGGAACAACTGCCGTAAGGAGAGACGCTGGCCCACGTGTTGCAGCTGATGTCTTCCAAACTGGGGACAGGTTCGGCGCCTTGCGAAGAGCTGGCATACATACAGGCCTGCCGCTGGCTGGACTCGCTGCGGTAGGGCCCAGCGGTGAGACTGAGGCTCTGAGGGTAGCCAACAGGCCGATAGTAGTGGTCGTCCTCACTGGAAGAACTCTCCAGGTAGGGCTTTTTGTAGCTGTGCTCGCCTGAGTGACAGTCATCATCCACTGTAGGTCAAATTTAATAAGCAACAAACTTGTTACTCAAGAAAAACGTTAACCAATATAAAACATGAAATACATAATTGCTCCTCCATTTATAAAGAATTAACCACACTGGAAATTTTTTGAGTATTATTTGCACCTTGACTAATCTAAATAAGTGAAAAGTACTGGCAACTTTAAAACTTATTCTGTTTTTACTTTTCTATCAAAAAATTTGTCAGATCATTAAATTTTTTTTATAACAAATGTAACATAATCTACCAGAAAATATGCAATTTGGGTATGATGATTGAATGTATTTAGTGAAAAACTGACTTAAAAAGTAACTATTTTACAAACAAATGAGTGATAAAGTCTCTGACATTAATCAGCTTGGAAAAGGTTAGAAATTGCTAAGCAACCCACAATGAGAGCCATTATCCACAATTGGAAAAGACATATAACAGTGGTTAGCCATCATAGGGGAAGTCTGTTCACCAAAATTATTCTAAAAGAGCACTGGCAAAACATACAGGAGGTGAAAAAGAACCCAAAGGAATCTTTAAAGCCATGAATGCCTACTTGCCTAATTTAAGGTCAGTGCTTATAATTTGTGAAGAAAGAGAGACTGCATGGCTTCCATAGTTCCATGGTAAAACCACTGCTGAATTATAATGATGATCCACAATATTTTACTATAGCAAAAAAACAAATACAGTAGAGAGCTTTAGAACTAAATGTTCCGCCAATACTGATAAATAAATAGATGATTTACTCATAAAAACAAAACCAAAACAAAAACAGTCTATAAGAAAAATATCATGTAGCACTTTATCACTTATTGTGACTTTATCCTTACATTTGCACTGAACAGAATTAGTCATTGTGAATTCCTATGCCAGGCTTAATTCTCATTCATGCTTTTTTTTAAAGAATATTATATTAGATAGCCTTACACTTCCTTGGCATTTTCAAATATCCTTCTTTGTTACTTGAAACATTCCTAATTACCTGTAGCAGTCAACAGTCAGCTAACAGTCTACATTAAATTTAAATTCAGGTATATCTTGACTAATGTTAAAGTTACACAAGATATTCTAATAATCAAAGAAACACAAATACTTCTTCAAATTAATTCAAAGAAGCATATAAAAGCAGTTTAGTAATTGGAGCAGTTTTTCTTAAAAACATGCTGGATGTTTAGTTTAGTTTTTGTACAACTGCTTTTAAACAAATCACAAGACTCCTGATTTTTTTTTTAAGATGAGAAAGAAATTATATTAAGTCATGATGCAAAATGATCAGAACTTCAAAATAATAAAAAAATTATTGTTAACACCTCTTACAACTGAGTGCATTAGTGAAAAAAGAATAGTATACAAAGACTAACTTGCATTTGTATCATTGACTATGAGATACTTTAAGATCAAATTTTGGAAATGATAACAAAAGATTGGAACATTGCATACAATTGAAAGGGTATAATACATTTTAACAATTTTTTTATTCTAAATCTCATAATTGTATTTAATTAGGACATCATGATTAAATTCTAGACCTTTAAATGTACATAAAGTGGCCTTAACTGACAGGATTTTTATGGAAAGCTTGGCCTGTCACATTTCATTATCTCCTCTGTGTATCATAGTGCAGCACAATAAATAAAAGCTCTTTCAGCTCCTAAAGGATTTAATGTAATCCCTGCTGGGCTCATATCGCCGAACAGCCTTGTACCTTTTCTCTTGATGCAGTACTCCTGACCGTGCTCATGTGGAAGTGGGTAGGAGCCAGACTGGGGCAGCATGTCCTGGGAGGTGCTAGTGACCCCATTTTCACACTGGGAGTATGCAGAGCTAAGGGTGCCAGTTGTAGCCATGCTCTGGACGTCTCCGCTGAATGGACTGTGGCTGGAGCCGACTCTCTGTCGCACTGTGCTGCGAGGAACTACTGGGTACTCTTTGGTGCTGCATATGGGTACACACATAGACACAACTGTTAGCAATTATCTGCGAGTGACCCTGCTCTACAGTTTGTGCCAGTCCAGCTTAGTTAAAAAAAAAATAGGACACCTGTTAATTTGTATTCGCTGGATGATCGGTTATATAAGAAATGCAAAAGCTTGGAAACAAACTCTATAAGGAAAGCCCTTCTGTTATAGACATGGGTTTAACAAAAATAATCCACAGGATCCATCAATGGATCATTCCATTGATTTTGGTTCATTCAATTTTGGCCTAATGTCAGCTGAAAAAATGACCTGGTCTCCCAAAAAGCTCTCTTCTTAAGAGAGTAACCAGGAGCAGACGTGCAGCACTTAATGCAAACAAAGGCTGAATAAAGTCATGTTAGACTGATAGTGTGGTTTGTTTTTTTTGCACAGCTACTTAAAGTACTCTATGCACTTTTTCCACTTAAAAAATACTACATGTCTTCATGTGTGTCTATTTTGTTAGGTTGAAATTATAAATAAATCTATTACAGAATGCTGTTGCTCAGTTCAACATTTAAATGGACAGATGTTGGATTTTTACACCTTTTGGAAAAAGACAAACGGCTCTCCAAGTGTTGTCCAATTTGAGATTTCTCCATTCGGAAAACCCTTCATTTTCTCCTGCGGCTCTCCAAAATCAGGGCAATGGGGGTTTTTCAGAACCAGATTTTCTCCTTTGAAAAAGTGTTTCTCTACACAGCACGGACTCCAGCTCCATCCCTCATCTGGACTGAATAATAGAGAGCAAAGTGGCCGCGTACCGCCTTGGCTGCCTGACCGAGTGATACTCACCAGTACAACATACACACAAATACACACATATACACACATTACAGACAAAGGCAGTCAGGGTGTTCAGTAAAAAGAAAAAAAAAACTCTGTGGAAGAGAGATGTTACAGTCTCTTTTTAGAGGTTCTGCCAGATCAGTCATAAAAAGTCTTCAGTATAAAAACTGGCTGACGATCAAGAACTACACTTACATCACTGAAAATAACACTCACTGAAAGTTACACTCATTACTGGCTTGGGTTTCATTGACTGAAGGTTTAAAGTGGGGCTTGTTAAGTCACAGAATTATTCCTGCCAAACTGAAGTGACATTTATCTGCTCGTTTGACATCATTCGAAATAAGTAAGAATTTCCACATATCAAAGATGGAGGATCAATTGGGATTTTTAAAGCAACTTGTTCCTAAAATGAACTCAATATCATCTCAGCTACAGCTACCTTTGCATTCTGGACATCCGGTGTAATTCCATGTCATCACTTCCACGGAAGCCCTTTGCAAATGGGTTGTTTTCAATCTTGAGCTGCGTGATCTAAAACAACAAATAAAGTTTGAATTAATGAAACATATGATGCTTGGGTCACGTATTAAAAGTAAAAGCTGAATTCATAACAGACTGATATGCCCATGAAAATGCATCTTTGCACTATATCCTACTAGATCTCTTTAACTGCATTCTTACATTTGCAACTATTTAATGACTTACATTGCCAATGCAAAAGTAGCTACCCCCATTTAGGTTTTTGAATGTTTGCATTTTAAAAATCACTAACTTTCATTACTATATCGGTATTTTAAACCCTGACAACAGTTTAAAAAGATATAGGCAAAGAAAACATGATTTCTGTGTTTAGAAATCTATTTATTTTTGTCATTCCCTTTTTGGCTTGTTTCTAACTTCTCAAAAGAAATCAAAGAGAAAAAAAAAACAGAAGATCCTATTTCCAGAAATTAAAGATGGTTCTAGAGACTCTCCAAACCTAATACTCTAATAAAGTCATGTCTCCAAAGGTCATATTGTTATTGCATGATTTATTTCATAATGATAAACACTGTCATATAAAGGCTGGAAAGAAGCAAATATTTAAAATGCCATGGGTTTTTGCTAATAATGTCTTGTTCAATAACCAAAGAAAGCGCAAAATAATTTTAGAAATATCAATCAAACCTCTGCAGCTTGAAGCAGAATGCAAGGATTTCCCTGTCAGGGTTTCTTGCCTGTAATGGGTTGGCGGTTCTGGTGTATTTCCAGGTTTGTGACAGGACCAGAGGTTTGTGTGTATGTTGGCTGACACCTACTCCAACCTTGTAAAACCAGTCATGTGACACTTTACTAGCTGCTTGTTAATTAATGCAGCCAGCCAGGCAGATGATTTATATATTCTTTCATGATTTTCAAATTCAAGAATGAAAAGTAGCAATTTCCTTTGCCCTTATCCATACCCATTACATCCCACTTTCTAATTAATTTCCAGAATGATGTTAAATATTTTTCACGAATCCTAATGTTGTGCAGAAGACCAGATTAGAAGGAATATAGTCAACTTAAAAAGAAATTTAATTTTACAGGTTGCATATTGAAGCTCCGACCTAAAAGAACAACTGTTGCTTTTGTAAGCTTTATTTTAGATGCCATTTTAGCAAAATAAAAAGTTTTCTGCCATATTATGTGGGGGCATTACCTAAGTAAAAACAGCTTGGAAAATGTTTTAATTGCATTTCCACAGGACAGGCTTGAAACAGGACACCTTTTCATTAGCTGAAAGTCCAACAGGTGAACTGGAGGCACGCCTGCAGCGCTTAATGCTCTGGCAGATGTTTGACTGTTTGATTAGACAGTTGTGGTAAAACGTTTGGAAATCAGACATGCTTGTTTTTTTCTTTTTCTTTTTTTTTTCTCCACAGGTCTGGAAACAGCCCTAATAATTAGCCTCGGGGTTACGATCACAACCCCCCAATAACGTGCTTAAAAATAATGAATGGTTTCTACAGAGCGCTGGTCATTTTGGGCTTTCTGTTCCCAGAGGCGCGGAGGCCTCTGATTGGCTGCGGGCTTGTTATGCGCGTTCTTTCCCTTTCTCCATTATTCCCCAAACAAGAAACATATATAGGCCCTCATGGCTAAAATGATGCTTACCAGACGCTGTTTACAGATATTTATGCTGCCAAGACTTTCTTTAGTCTGGAAAATCTGGGCAGAGTGTGTTAAACATTAGATTCTGAGTCTGGGGAACAACACAAGCTTAAATTATCGAAAATTGTATTTATTTATGCTTAATGTGACATCATTTAACCATCATTTTCAAAACAGTTGATATTAGGAAGAAGTCTACCCATTTTTTTCATTTCGTATATAAATACTGAAATAGGGGCTCAACTGCAGTTTAATTCATTAATTAAACAACAGAAATTCGGGGAAACAAAAGAGGCTTAAAAGTTACAGATTTGGAAATGAAACGAATGCGGGATGCAGAAACCTCAAACCCTGCGTGTCTGTGATTTTCTTTCGGTTAATTAATTTTGTTAAACTCTTTCTTGTTTGAGGTTCTTTCTTTTTTTCCTTTGCAGAATTACTCATTTATACGAATAATTTATACTTTTCTTCCGAAATAATCTGGATCACCAGAGTGTCAGTTTAATTGCACTGAGTTGAAATTAATATTAAAAGTTGCGAAAATGCAAAGACTTATGTAAAAATACATTTATATAATAGGTACAAATACATGCTATAAATTTCGGATGGAGGGAATTAGAAATAATCGAAAATAATAAAAAGACAAAATAAAGAAATTAAATTAATATCTACTCTAATAATAATAATAATAATAATAA